TATGGTAACCCTACAGATATTGCAGCCACATGTGACGTTTTGGGGACTACTGAATTCACTTTATGAATGTTCTGTGTATTTGTGTGTCCCTTTTATCCATGGCCTCTATACATATTGTATGTACCTTTGTGGGCTGGGGACTGTAATCTACGCCATGGGGGAGGGTTACCCCACCTTCTACAGGAGCTACACACCAGGGGAGTAATTACTTGTGGGACAAGTAGCAGCTCCAGAGAAGTACCATCCCTAGGGAGAGTTGCACAAACTGGGTTAGAGAAGGCAGGGCTGGCATTGGGGTGGGCGAGCTGGGTTACCACCCAAGGCGTCTTGCTGAGGGGATGCCTCTAAAGCAGGAGTGTCCTGTCTCTCCTCCCACTGCTGCTCTGCGTCCATCTGCAGCCACTGCCACTCCTTGTTGGAGGTGCCCCTGGCCAAACCGCTCCTGGGAACCTCTTGTCTGTTGTGCACAGCGAGGGGAGGGAGGGAAGGAGAGTGTGTGTGTGAGAGAGAGTGTGTGTGAGGGAGTGTGAGAGAGAATGTGTGTGAGGGAGTGTGAGAGACAGTGTGTGGGGGGAGAGACAGAGTGTGTGTGTGTGGGGGGGGACTTGAGAGACTGTGTGAGAGAGAGAGACAGAGTGTGAGAGAGTGTGGAGGGAGTGTGATAGACAGTGTGTGTGTGAGAGAGACAGCGTGTGTGGGGGAGAGTGTGGGACTGGGGGAGAGGGGGGGGGGGAGTGGGGGTGTGGGGGGAGTCTGAGAGACTGTGTGTGAGAGAGAGTGTGTAGGGGAGTGTGATAGACAGTGTGTGTGAGAGAGAGAAACTGAGTGTGTGGGGGGAGTGGGAGGGACAGAGTGTTTGAGAGAGAGAGAGTGTGTGGGGGGGGAGTGTGTGTGAGAGAGAGTGTGTGAGAGAGCCAGAGTGTGTCTTGGGGGAGTGTGTGAGAGAGAGTGAGTGTGTGGAGGGAGTGTGAGAAACTGTGTGAGAGAGACAGAATGTGTGTGTGGGGGGAGTGTGAGAGACAGAGGGAGTGTGAGCTAGTGTGTATGGGCAGGGCTGGTGCTACCATTAAGGCAAACTAGGCGGTTGCCTAGGGCGCCAAGATTTGGGGGTGCCAAAAAGCAGTGCCCCCAATATTTTTTTACAGCGTTCCTGGGCTGGGCTGCCAGCGGCGTGCTGACACGTACGGCTCAGACTCCCTCTCCCAGCGCAGCGGTCGCTCCATGCAATTATTGTCATTGCCCGGTGGGGGTGGCGTGCTCGGGGAGGGGGCATAGCAGAGATGAGCTGGGGTGGGGAGCCCTCTGGCAGCTCCCCCTCCTGCCCTAAGGCACCCCCCCCGTGGCAGCTCCCCACCGCTCCGGCCTGGGGAGCCGTGCGGCAGCTCCACACCCCAGCTCATCTCAGCTACGCCCCCTCCCCGAGCGCGCGGTTGCCGCTCCACTTCTCCTGCCTCCCAGGCTTGCGGTGCCAATCATATATAATCAAATAATAGTATCTTTCTAGAACATAAATTTAGCTTGTACTCACCTTAGTAGTGCCGTTTTAACAACAACAACAACAAAAACTAAACACATAACTTTAGACATTGTGCAGAAGGTCACTTATTTTCAAATAGCATTTTTAGTTATATCTGTAAAATAACTTAAAATTCATTTGAAAATACATGCACAGTCCAAGTCTGATACTAATAATAATGATGGAGTCAAATGTTAGTGAGTCACATACATGATTGTGATAGGTAAACATGAATGCCAAAGTAATTAGAAAAATAAATTCCAGTTGGTAATAAAAGAGAAAAAAAAACTTTTTTAAAAATTAAGTAAATACTTCTTTAGTGGAGTGAAAAACAATTGACTAGAATAGAGTAGATAATGGCAGTAAAAGAGATTGTGTCTGTTAGCAAAAGTAAGCAGATTTTATTTATTTTTATTTATCTCTACTAAAGATAGAGTACAAAGTATCACACTTGTGTTTCTTATACCTGTGTTAAAGCTCCAGAACTGAAGTCAGCTGACATTAATTAGGAAAATTGCCACAAGCAGGATTCCTAATCATAAAACTGTGAGCAGGACACCCATCCCAGAGTGTGTAGGGCAGTGTCTTCTGCCTCATGTTCTTGAGTTCTACAACCAAAAGTTCCTTTTCTGTGCCCCTCTCTGCTCCCTCACCCCACCCCCCCTCCACTGACAGTTGTTGTCTTTGGTCAGTGAGGAACCAGGGATCAGAGGTGCATCTGTGTGAATTCACCTCCCTCCCAGGGAAGAAAGCATGTTGCTTGAGCTACCCTCTGAGCACTTGCTCTGGCTAGTTACCCCACAAGCTCCCCTTCCTCTCACTGATCACCTTCTGCTACCTGTGTCTGCTGTGACCTTGGCAGGTCAGTCTCTTGAGGTTCTATCCAGCTCTTACTGATTGTCAGCTCTGAGGCTGGGCAGAGATACTGTCCCATCAGAAATGATTATCAGCTCTTTTAAACACTAAATAACAAAAGGCTTCTAATGGAGCCTATTTAGCACTGTCTTTAAATGGTAGAAAAGAACAAGTTAAACCAGACAGGAACCCTTAAGGATCATCACACCTCCTGGCTAAAACACTTGTCCCCACCCACTTTATTTTCATAGGAAGGTCTGGCATTCTAGCCCCTGGCTTAGCGAAGTCCTTTCAGCTCAGGGTGACCCCTAATTTGGGACAAGTTAAGCACAGTTCTGCTCCTTTCTATTCAGACAATAAAAACAACATTGATAACAGCATTTCACTACCCCTGCATTCAGTACTAAAGTGATTTGTAACCCAGCACCAGCCACAGTTGATCACTTGGAGATACACAGCTCCTGTCTGCTAGATATTTACGCAGAGTAGGTGTGTTCATGTAAATACAGTTTGCTCCTGAAGTCTCTCCCCCTCTCAGCTAGCTGTCAGGGGAGAGTTCATTCAGACCCTGCTTACCTCTAGGAAATAGATACAGTGCTCCTGTTAGCTAATTACTAAGTTATCTAAAAAAACCCAAACCCTAGAGTTTTCAGGTATCTAAGTAGCCCCTGGAATCACAGTTAGTTTCCCCCACTCCCCAAAATCAGAAATGGCACCTCGGTGAGCCAGGAGTGGCCCAAGGGGCTGCTGGCTCTGGCAAGATGCAGCCCCTGTGTGATAGTGTGGTGCCTAGTAGGCTGTAACTAAGTCACAGCAGCAGTCAGGGTAGCATTATACCATATACCATGCCACCCTTACTTCTGTGCTGCTGCTGGTGGTGCTGTTGCCTTCAGAACTGGGTGACTGACCAGCAGCCACCACTATCAGGCCACCCTACCAGTGCCGGGGCTGAGCTCTAGCACCTCTTTCAATATAAATTAAGCACTTGGGGGAGGCAGTGGGGCAAGGAGGTGATGGGGAAGTGGGAAGACTGTGGGTGCCAAAGGTGATGGGGGGAGGGACCAAAATACAAGTTTGCCCAGGGCACCATTTTCCCTAAGGCTGGCCCTGAGACCAGGTCCAGAAGTCTAAGAGAACAAAGATTTTTGGTTTAAAAGCTGGATTTGAACCAACCAGAGACCCAAGATCTTGGGCTACAAAGTGACATGACCTGTTAACCAAGGGGCCAACCTTTAGAGAAAGGTTTGAAAGACTTTGAACCCTACCAGTGAGTCCCATGTGCCAGATGAGAATCCTTTGGGACAAGTGTAACGTGTTCAGACCTTTGATGGGTTTATGGTAACTTTTCTCTGTCAGGCTTTTGTCCTTAAATGTTCTCTGCTTTGGAAGAGCTAATTGGTTTTTGGTAGCCGCTGGCACATGCTGTTCATAGCCCTGAGAGAGAAAGCAAAGCCCAAATGCTGGTCTTTGATCAGGCCTGCTGGGAAAACCACTGTGAATTGAGGGTGTTAAGGCTGCTTCCCCACTTTGAACTTTAGGGTACAAATGTGGGGGCCTGCATGAAAACTTTTAAGCTTAACTACCAGCTTAGATTTGGTTTGCTGCCGCCACTTTTAAAGCTAATTTCCTTCCCTGGGTAGCCTTGAGAGACTCTTCACCAATTTTTTGGTGAATAGAGATTCAAACCCCTTGGATCTTAAAACAAGGAGAAATTAACCATCCCCCCTTTTTTTCCCCACCAACTTCTGGTGGATCAAGATCCAACCCCCTTGGATCTAAAAACAAGGAAAAATCAATTAGGTTTTTAAAAAGAAGGCTTTTAATTAAAGAAAAAGGTAAAAATTATCTCTGTAAAATCAGGAGGGAAAATAACTTTACAGGGTAATCAAACTTAAAGAACCCAGAGGAATCCCCTCTAGCCTTAGGTTTAAAGTTACAGCAAACAGAGATAAACACTCTAGCAAAAAGGTACATTTACAAGTTGAGAAAACAAATATAAAAACTAACACGCCTTGCCTGGCTGTTTACTTACAAGTTGGAAATATGAGAGACTTGTTCAGAAAGATTTGGAGAGCCTGGATTGATGTCTGGTCCCTCTCAGTCCCAAGAGCAAACAACCCCCAAAACAAAGAGCACAAACAAAAGCCTCCCCCCCCCCCAGATTTGAAAGTATCTTGTCCCCTTATTGGTCCTTTGGGTCAGGTGTCAGCCAGGTTACCTGAGCTTCTTAACCCTTTACAGGTAAAAGGATTTTGGAGTCTCTGGCCAGGAGGGATTTTATAGTACTGTACACAGGAGAGCTGTTACCCTTCCCTTTATAGTTATGAGAGAGGGGCATGAAACCCCAGTGTGGAATGAGAGGGCCATGGGTCCCTGTTCAGAGAGAGGTGAAGGCTGGAGGCCTGAGACCTATGGAGACATTCCTTGAGCAGACCACAGAGGGATCAGAGGTGCAGTTACCCCAAGCCTGTGACTCGCTGAACTCACAGACATGCCTAGGGCACTGCATGGGGACATGGTGTTCACTTCTAACCCAGGGTGCTCTCTTACTGTGAGTCTTACTGCTGAGGTAATGTCACCCCCAGCCACTCACTAATTTAATTTCCATTTTCCTTTGTACATTTCACAGCACAATTCACAGTGACTGGACCTGACGATCCAGTCATTGCCTCCCTAGGTGGGGAGGCCGTCCTGTCCTGCCACCTCTCTCCCAGGATGAGCGCTGAGAACATGGAAGTCAGATGGTTCCGATCCAAGTACTTTGAAGTCGTGCACCTGTACCGTGATGGGCAGGATCAGTACGGAGAGCACATGCTGGAATATCAAGGAAGAACTGAGCTCTTGAAAGACGACATCACCAATGGGAGAGTTTCCCTGAGAATACGCGATATCCGACCCTCCGACAATGGGCAATACACGTGTTATTTTGAGTCCAGTGTCTCTTATGAAGAAGCATTTATGGAACTGCAGGTGGCAGGTCAGTAATTTCTTCTGATACTTTGAAGTCTTCAACAGGGTAATAAGTGGAGGCTGAGGGTTCATTGTGAGATGACGGTTGACATTTCTCATTATAGTGGGTCAGTAGCTCTGCTCTGGTTAAGGTTTGTTCTAGTTCACTGTTTAACAGCTGCTTTTTTCCTAAGGGCTCTAAAATTCACACTCATACTCAGATTGTCTTGAACATTTCTGTGACTCATTGGAGTCTGGGGTACGGTTAGTGGCCTAAATTTGAGGTCATTAGAGCAATGGTTCTCAAACAGGGGTACATGTACCCCTGGGGGTACGCAGAGATCTCCCAGAGGGTACATGAACTCATCTAGATATTTGCCTAGTTTTACAACAGTATACATAAAAGGCACCAGTGAAGTCAGTCTGAACTAAAATTTCATACAGACAATGACTTGTTTATACTGCTCTATACGCTATACACTGAAATGTAAGTTCAATATTTATATACCAATTGATTTATTTTATAATTATGTGGTAAAAATGAGAAGTCAGCAATTTTTCAGTAATAGTGGCTGTGACACTTGTATTTTTATGTCTGATTTTGTAAGCAAGTAGTTTTTAAGGGAGGTGAAAGTTTGGGGGTACACAAGACAAATCAGACTCCTGAAAGGTTAAGAGCCACTGCACTTCTGCTGACACATCGTACAGACCTCGGCAGTCCAGTGAGACACATAGGTGATCCCTCTCGTCATATCACAGTGACCTGAGTGACAACTTTGCCAGCCTGCTCTAACTAACCCCTCCCCCAGTCACTACAGCGACTCCGAACACGGGGAAGGCAGTGGGAGTGCAAGCAGATAGATGCTGGCATCCAAATCTGAGAAACACAACACCAGCAATGGCACCTTCCTCATGCCTGTGTATTATGGCACCACGCGCACTGAACCGCTCCCCGCGCCTAATGCCAGCCCCAGGAATCATAGAATCATAGAATATCAGGGTTGGAAGGGACCTCAGGAGGTCATCTAGTCCAACCCCCTGCTCAAAGCACGACAATTCCCAACTAAATCATCCCAGCCAGGGCTTTGTCAAGCCGGGCCTTAAAAACCTCCAAGGAAGGAGACTCCACCACCTCCCTAGGTAACGCATTCCAGTGCTTCACCACCCTCCTAGTGAAATAGTGTTTCCTAATATCCAACCTAGACCTGCAACTTGAGACCATTGCTCCTTGTTCTGTCATCTGTCACCACTGAGAACAGCCGAGTTCCATCCTCTTTGGAACCCCCCTTCAGGTAGTTGAAGGCTGCTATCAAATCCCCCCTCATTCTTCTCTTCTGGAGACTAAACAATCCCAGTTCCCTCAGCCTCTCCTCATAAGTCATGTGCTCCAGACCCCTAATCATTTTTGTTGCCCTCCGCTGGACTCTTTCCAATTTTTCCACATCCTTCTTGTAGTGTGGGGCCCAAAACTGGACACAGTACTCCAGATGAGGCCTCACCAATGTCGAATAAAGGGGAACGATCACGTCCCTCGATCTGCTGGCAATGCCCCTACTTATACAGCCCAAAATGCCGTTAGCCTTCTTGGCAACAAGAGCACACTGTTGACTCATATCCAGCTTCTCGTCCACTGTGACCCCTAGGTCCTTTTCTGCAGAACTGCTACCTAGCCATTCGGTCCCTAGTCTGTGGCTGTGCATGGGATTCTTCCATCCTAAGTGCAGGACTCTGCACTTGTCCTTGTTGAACCTCATCAGGTTTCTTTTGGCCCAATCCTCTAATTTGTCTAGGTCCCTCTGTATCCGATCCCTACCCTCTAGTGTATCTACCATGCCTCCTAGTTTAGTGTCATCGGCAAACTTGCTGAGAGTGCAGTCCACACCATCCTCCAGATCATTAATAAAGATATTAAACAAAACCGGCCCCAGGACCGACCCTTGGGGCACTCCGCTTGAAACCGGCTGCCAACTAGACATGGAGCCATTGATCACTACCCGTTGAGCCCGACGATCTAGCCAGCTTTCTATCCACCTTACAGTCCATTCATCCAGCCCATACTTCTTTAACTTGGCGGCAAGAATACTGTGGGAGACCGTATCAAAAGCTTTGCTAAAGTCAAGGAATAACACATCCACTGCTTTCCCCTCATCCACAGAGCACGTTATCTCATCATAGAAGGCAATTAGGTTAGTCAGGCACGACTTCCCCTTGGTGAATCCATGCTGACTGTTCCTGATCACTTTCCTCTCCTCTAAGTG